CAATCAACCAGTAAAAAGTTCTAATGCAGATCTGGTGGATGGTGACGGAGCCCTTCGAAATGATCGGAAATCAATATGGCAGACTCAGTCTTAATCGCTTTTCAAAGGGAAGAATAGGCAAACGCTGATGCCAAATACTAGATCTGAGACCGAGTTGGTTTTTCCTTCGTGAAGTTGACATGGGCACAACACGTTGTTGATACCCATGGCAACATCAATCTGTCAGGGGTCACTTGATAAAGTATGCTCTATAAAAGCGCATTCACAACAGCAGACGAACAGATCCGCGGATCAAATATGGCTGACCCACTTAAATGCTTGTTGCGTAATCCCCGCAGGCAATCTATTCAGTATTTAATCGGGAATTAAACGGCAAGCTTTTTAGATGGTCGCCATATTTGATCCGCGGATCTGTTGGTCCGCTATTCTGAATACGTTCTAAAATCCATTCATCTGCATAGAAAGCGCTGTTGCCTTAGTAGGTGGCCATTATGTGTACTTCAGTCAATAATACCAATTAATAACATACCATTGATATCCTTCATCAAGTATCTTTGGCCCCATTGAGAATAGGGGACTAACTAGTCCGAGGGTCAAATATGGCCGACCCATTTGAATACTTCCCCACGGGATATCTATTCAGTGTCTATAAGGGGATTGGACAGCAAGCTTTGTTGTGGGTCGCCATATTTGACCCTCGGACTAGATAGTCCGCTGTTCTGAATGGGGTCTTAACAGGTGGTACTTAGCTAATCTCCGGAAGGCGAAGGCGCCTCTCTACCCGAGGCAATAACCATAATTGATCTGATTACTTAACTTAGTTTGTTGTAATAGATAGTGGAATATCCATCTTATCTTTCTGTCAATAAATACGCAGCAAACCACAAACACACCTTGCGGAAGTGTCATTTTTTCAGTCTAGCTGATGATCTTGAATATGCTACTGGTATTGGTATCAACCCAAATTGTTTCTTTGTTATTATATATGGGGTTGCAGAAAAACAAACAAACAAACAAACAAACAAACAAACAAACAAACGAACGAACAAATGAACAAACAAACAAACTGTGCACTCACTATTTTGCACTTTTAAGAGTAAAACAACTAATAATAAATAAATAAATAGATAAATAAATAAATAAATAAATAAATTAATAAATAAAAATTGAAAACAAGAAATGTGAAAGAAAAACGTGACAAAATAAATGTAACAAGATAACTTTCTTGTCACAGCAACGCGATTTTACTCATCAGAACATGGAATGGCCTAAAGGCAATTCAATTTGATATTCAAATACATACCTAGGGATGTTACATAGCCGTGGCGATATGCAGATCACTGATTTTTCCCATTTAGACAAGCTTCAGTGAAGATGGAGCGCAGCCTAGAGCCGCTACCAAGAAATATTTCGCTTCACTCGACATTTCTGTGTAGGTCCCTCGGAAAAAACGGATATTAGACCGCTGTTATGTATTATACCTCGAAAAATTTGAAATCTCTCACCCTCCTGAAATTAATTTAAAATAAACTTTTTACGGTCAACAATTATTATTTATCTTTTTTTACACTGAGTCATATCATACAGCGTTTTACTCCTTAAATGAATTGGGCATGGTTTGAAAAAAATGGAATTATTTGTCATTTAAGTCACATATATGCGTGCACAAATGTTTGTAAATCTGTACCTTTTTAACGTAGATTGTGTTATTTACATGTACCTTTTGTCTTTCGGCTATCCATTCTTCCTCTTTATCAGAAATATCGTTGAAAATCAAACCTATATATTCCAAAATCACCTCGTTAACAGACATATTACTTAAAAGTAGAATTATTACTCCTGTGGACTTGCAATTAACATCAGTCCTGCTTTGACTATATTCCGAAACCACCTCGTCGTCAGAAATATAAGTTAAAAGTTAATTTATTTGTCCTGTGAGCTTGTAAAAATTAATATGACTATATTCCTGTCCGATGCTCCTTCATCAAAAACGCCACTGGAAAGTAGATGTTTTGCCTTAGGACCTTTGTTCAACTGCAATCCCAGCTACAGGTAGTTGCGGCTCAGCCCAGATTCACATGGTCAGTGTCTACGATTGATTGAACATTAATAAACACTACTCAAGCGGCTTGACCTTCAACACCAAGTAATCAGCAAAAATTGAGCAAATTGGCCAGACGTTACGTATAAATTTCGCGGGAGATGAGTTTATTACATAAAGCATCTCTAGGGCGTGATATAAGTTTATTTTCATTCGGTTTAAATGTTGTTTTAGTATGAAATGTCAGTATTTTTTCTCGGTATGTATGTCAAATAATACACTGTCACCCTCTGGCGATATATGCCATGAACACATCTCACTGACACTCGAGGTGTTATGGCATATTTCGCTCGGGTGACAGTGTATTATCTCACACATAACAGGAAATAAAGTTATTTTTATTCTTAACCTTTGGAGAACATCCCTGGCAGCAACATAGGGACCATTCCCATAGACACATCGGCCTACGTGGATCGGCCCAACTCTGTTGGGACTCTCGTTAAGTCCAATCAGCTTAACAGATCAAGGACTTACAGGACAATAATGTCCTTGAACAGATTAACATGCCTTCTTCTGACATTAAGTAGAATACAGAAAAAGCTGGCAATTATATTAACACGGCGGAAATAAGAGGAGGTGTGGCGTTCAGTTAAGCAGATTGCACTTAGCAGAAGACCCCGCGGAGTTGGGTCGATACACTTAGACCGATGATGTGCCTAAAGGAATGGGGTCACATGCAATAATGAAATCGAGTTCTCGACTGAAGCGAATTCTAATTTGAAGAAAAAAAATTAAAATGTGATCCTTGGAACGAATAATAACAGCCAGGTTTTAAACAGCATATCAAATTGAAACTAATCTGCAACTGATGTAGTTCACAATTAGCTCATTAATATGAGAAATACTAGGAAATTGTTAAGGAATACTGGAGTAATGGTCACATGTACCTGTATTTCACCCAGCTTTATTCATATCCCCAAATGAAATTTGATCTTCAGGTCACCACAAGTTGTTCATTTTTCACCCCAGGAACATACAAAAGCGGCATGTTTTTCAATTGTTAAGTGATGTTTTCATGGCAAAAAGTTTAAATTCTAGTTAAGCTTAATATCCGTGCACGCGTTTTACACACCGCCCCGCCGCGAGGTGTTTGGCTTACCCCGTGTGAGAACCTCACAAAATCCAGTTTGCCATTCTATGCCAGGGGATCAGTTTCCACTTTAACACGTATGTTTTACAGTAACAATTGTTTCAGTTCATTCACAAAAAAGTGCCCTTAGCTGTGTTTTGTTACGGACAATGAGAAAACAATGTGTGAAAAAAGGAACGGTTTGGATCTGTTTACGTAGAGTTCGGAGTGTAAATCAACCGCTTCCCTTACGAACAAGGGCCTGCAATGTAAAACAAGTGAGAGACACCTATAAGCTCAATGGTTTACATTCCTGAACAGCAATAGCAAACAGCAGGGGGGCTAGCAAAAGGCTAAAATTCCCCCTTTTTACAACATTTAGTTATTTTAAAATTTCCAAAGTGTTAGGAGAAGTTACGGTGAGTTTGACCTTTAAGGAGGAAGGTATCACTACACTTTATTGGTGTAACTATGTCTACATGTATGATGGGAAATGGGTCTGAACACATGGCGTTTCAGTAATTATGATTTGAATTCACTTTATGAAACAAAGAAACCCCGTCAGCTACACTCTTACAATTCCCAAATTCAGTGTTGTTGGTCAAATGACTAGTTTTTGATCTACAAACTGTTAGCTATCAAATCGGATGTAAATTATGGTACACAATACATCTACTTTGTACTTGTAAGAAAAAAAACAAAAAACAAAACTCAGTAAAATGTAAGATATCGGACTGAAATAAATAATTTATTCTAAACACAGTTTCGACGAGCAGTAATACTTACAAAGAAAAAAAAGAAGAAGTTGATTTAGAGTATTATAGACAAATAAATATATGATACAATTTGACGTATAAAATGTTCAGGTATATGGCACTTTGTTACGCCGGGCAGTGACCCAAGCTTCCTCTTAGACCACGGGACTATATACAATTGTTCATCTTAACACAATCTTTCCCAGTATAATATGATCCCATAGGACTATAATATCTTAGTTATCAAAATACGAACATACGTTTTGTATATCACGTTCCAAGCAATAGAAATACACGGAGAAATTGATAGTTCAAATGTTAAGAATGCGTGTAAATGCAGTAGTTGACAATCTATTTTACACTCAATCTGGGACTCACAAGTGAAAGTTGTTTATGCCACAATGCAATGGGTATCATAAAAATGTAAATGATATATGGCACACTTCAGAAAACATTGTACAGCAATACATCGCCGCGTGTAATACCATGAAATACACAATAACCATTTTCTTCATGTCTCCGGCAGTAGAGAAGGACACTAATACTGATCATCTAATAAAATCCCAGGTAAAATACTTCTATGGTAATTCCAACCCAATTGATTTTCGCTTATTTCTCTGTCTAGCCATAACAGTATTGGTATTTCTTAATCTTCATTTGGGTGTCAAGTCGTACTCACTTGCCATTCAATTTGGCGCGTTACCAAATTTAAAAGAATCACAGCAGCCAGCCAGTCCAGTACTAATAAATTTCAGAGCTCTGGCTTAGTGCAGAGGCGGATCGAGGATTATTTGAAGGGGGGGGGGGGGTCGAGTTTTTTTCGTGGAAATGAAAGGCCGCGGATGCGCAGCCGACCCTCCCCCATCCCCCCCTTGGCGAAGCGTCGGGGCCCGCTAGGGGCCCCAAAAGTTTTGGTATTTTAGAGGGCGAACGGTGCCTTTTGGTACGGTTTAGAACTATGATTCAGCTAATCAAAAATCTACTTTCAAGAGGGCACCATTGGTGGGATTTTTTTCAGAAATCGACGGGGGTGGGGGTTGGGGGGGGTTGGGGGGGAGGGGTCAGGACCCCTCTGACATCCCCCTAAATGCGCCACTGAAGAGTGAATTGGCAACAGACGCTACTTCCTTTTTTCCTAGGGTAGTTTGACAGTTCTTGCTGATATTGTTTGTCAGCAACTACTTGAGATATAACCAACAGCAACTACTTGAGATATGACATAACATTGGTAACTACCATAGTATATAATCACAATTCTTAGTTTTTTGTTATTTGATATTTGATATCATCCATAATTTAATTTCGGCCGTTTGTGTGTGTGCGCGCATGCGTGTGTGTGTGTGTAGTTGTTTGCGTATGTACATAATTGGCATTAATACTACTTAAAATGTTTCAATAAACAACCTGTAATACTATTACATGTATATATCAAAACGTTTCCCTCAATATTCTCAATCTAGAGTACTGACAATGTACAGCATCACGGCGAATACTACAACGCAATGCGTTACTTTCGTAGAATGCTACAAAGATGAAAATATGACTTCTACACGGCGCTTGTCATTGTGCTGCCGATTGTAAAACATATTTCACGTGATGAACCCGAGTATAATACCAAGTAACCAAGGTCACATTTTAAGGTTCGAAACCAATGGCACAGACGTACGATCACATAATGTCCCAAATGTACATATATATATATGTGTACATGTATGATGATAGTTTGAGTAATGATATCGATGACATTACAGAGTATATATACAAAGATTAAAGCGTTGTCGTGTCGGGCTCACAGCTGGAACCGGAAGTCTTATCTTGCACGTGGACACCGTTGTTCAACTTGGACTTTTGTGTTGATTTTGCCAGTTGGATCTGGAAAGACAGAGACTATTTTTTAATATACACGAACGTACTCAACAAAAAATACTTTGGGTAATGAGATTACCGTCGTTTTCATTGTGTCACGTACTATTGATGGGCGGATTAAGGCCATCTGGGTCTTCCTGAAGACGGTAGATTTTCAAGTTTACATTGACGGCTATGTAATTTTTTCTGTCGGAAGGTGGTCAAAAATGGAGGATGGATCAACAAAGATAATTTAGGAGACTGTCAGAAAATAGCTCTAGATCCACCCCTGTTATTTTCATCCAAGCTAAAATTAAGTTATCCATACTTTAACCAATTTGAAAGAAGGCGATACTTTTCTGACTGCATGAACAACATTTTGGTTTGTGCCACGAACTGAAAACTCATCTAAAAAGCCTGCGCATACATACTTTAACAAACCCCTTCCCAGGAAAGGTGGACTGCACTTCTGTCTCTGACGTGTATAACGACTGTGATCTGCTTGTTCTACGGTATTGTCCCTTTCTCTGCCAGTACCTGTCCCAGTGTTTGCTGAGTGCTTGGCGGACCTGCAGAAAATAAAGAAATTAATACTTTAAGTGAAATTAATGTATTGATTCAAATGTCATGAGTCAGTTTTAACCCCAATATTCAAAAGATTGGACTTGAATCCAGAAGTGATTGTCTTGAGTATCTAGATTATCTCATCATTTAATGTGGGTTCCCTTTTTAGAAAAGGGGGCAAGTGAAAACTCGGTCTTAGCCAAGCCAAATATGCTTCGTAGTCGACTATGGCACTCATCACAAATAGTCTTACGGAGCACTTATCTCGCTTTTTTTCCGTCTTTAAACTTAGTCTCGTTTTATCCATGATTTATTACGATCTAATTGTTTTGAAAAATACGCGTGTATTCACAACGCCGTCTTAGTTATGTCACCCGATTGCAGGTCAAGCGTCTAAAAGTCGGTGCCACACAGTCGACTATATAAGTTTAATAGTCTAAGATAAGCTCAAACCCTTAAATTGTTTTATGAAGCAGGCCACAGTACCGAGAACAAATAGTGTGTTACGGACTGCAGACGACTGTAGAGATGTGGAATTAGCAGAGTTCACAATTAAATTTAGCAGAGGGTTAAACTGTGTTCAAAAGGTGACAATGTACAAAAGTGTCCAGAAAAGCATGCAAGACAATCAAAATAAATTAAAGACAAATTAGCTGGCCCAGAAATCATATTTCATAAAGCAGCCATGATCAGCTTCACACAGAGACCTTGTGGATTTACCAGTACTGAGTATGTGCGGCCGGTTTTACCTATACTATATATATAAGACACAAAAAATTCTATAACATAATGTATGGGTCACTACTTAAAGTTTCAATATAAGAATCCCAAATGCCCACGGATAAAAGATATTAAAGCCGTCATACCAATGCTTTACTCATGCACAAACAAACAAACAAACAAGTCGACATAGATTTGCTTCGGCCAACGCACACGCTGAGCTACCAGCGGAGCTACCGACTTCACGAGGCGACAGCTTACTTTATAACTCAAAGTGTGCGCCTAGTGATAGGTAGAAAGGAATGAATGAAAACAACAAGTAAATGAAAGGAAACAATGAAGAAGGAAAAGGAAAGAAGGAGAATGTAAAAGTCGCAAGGTTTGATTATAGGGATGATGCAACAAAAAGGAAATCGATACTTTTACGTAACGCTTTATGGGAAGCAGGCATTGCTGTCAGCCTTAAGGATATGAAGGTGAAATAAGTCCCAGGATCCTTTTCCATATATTGGATTAAAAGTGAGATTGCAGGCGTAGGACAAGTATGTCAGGTAAAGAATAATGTGAATTATATATATATAGTCCATATTTATGATGAATGGCAGATAAAGTTATATAAAAAACGAGAAGAAACAACCCAATACATCAGATCGACTACCACGCTTTGAACAGAGAAAAGAAAGAATAAACACCAGAAATCGATATTTAGAAAGAAATATAATTGTACACAATTATATCAATAGTTTCTTATATTACCAAGTCGTTTTTCTCTGAAAACACAGATTCTGCATGCGAAGCACCATTACACAGGAAACGTTTAGTACGCATGCGCCACTACACCCATGCCACTGACACGTACAACGACTAACCTTGAAGCGTGTATAATGCCAAGCGCGTGAGTTGAGTGGAGCTTCAAAACTCCACGTTGCATAAATAGTACAAGATATCACGAGACGCCTTCAAAAGGGCTTTGTGCACCTAAAGAGATGGCATTCAAAGTTATGGTAAGAACAGACTGAAAAAACACAGAAAGCAACGCACGCAAGCTAAATAGTGTCTAAGTCATTTACATATGATGCTGGCGTAAATGTGTGATAGATTATTTGCTCTACAAATTAATAGTGTCATGACAAAATATTAAGAAGAAATGACATATTGCACAAAATCGATGCGAGTTCAAAGGATATTCTACGATACATCCAAAATCGTTACATGATGTACGTAAACCTAAACAATATTCCATAGTTTCTTAGCGTATGGATTAACTGAAAGGAACGGTATGAATGACATCACGATGTTAATTTAACACGTGACATCATGCACTGTGACGTTACCCACCTCGCCATTTAGAAAGCAGTAGAACAACGCGACTAGGAATCCTTGAAAGGAGCTCAGTATATGAGAGGTGTAACTATAGACACCATAGGCAACGACTGTGTCACTTGGCGGTTTCACCATCCCCATGATGTTTGTTATGCCAAGCAATGGCAGTAACAAGATGGCGGCCTTTACGGCTTTTCTGTAAAAATGAAGTCCATTAATATAAGATGTATCCAGTATTTGTGGTTTACAAAATCGTCCTGAATACAGGTAAGCTTGAAAAATTTTAACAATCTTAAGATACATGTATTTAACCGTGGCGCCTTCTTTACATGGTGGAATTACCGAATTCGCATAAAATCTCATTTTATTTTCGGGTCTTTGTCATGTCATTGTCAAAGTTATGCCTTCATGACTTTGATGCAGATCCAGACTTTAATTCAAAGCTGTTCTGAGCACCCCAATAAATGAAACAAATTAACTTTCCAAACTTTAACTATTTCAAAACAGTCTCTCTCTCTTTTGTCAGAACCATGTTTCTTCTCAGAGCAGAACACTGCTAGACAAAACAGCAATACAATATAGCAAAAAAGTACGAGCTGATTAAACAATTACTGTGTACCTCGATGTGGAAAAAACTTGACTATTATTATAGCCCCTTAATTACCTGACTTGCTCCGCCTCTGAAGACCGACTTTCCTTTAGCTTGTTCACCAGCACACTTATTATGATCACCAAGAAGGTGAGATTAATCTAAAACAAAGAATAACATTGGGCATGATTGTGAGATTGATCTAAAACACAGAATAACATTGTGCATATCTGGGTACTCTACACTGAAATTTCAGAGCACATGTAATCCCACTGATTTTAATATTGTATGAATAATTTAGTAAATGGATAGGTAAACGCATGTATAATACGACAATGCGCATGTTGGTGCTTTGGTAGCATGCGGAACGGCGCTTTTTTGACGTCATGTCGATATGACGTATACCGTTGTACAAAGACGTAACGCTGAAAGTGATATATCAGCGAAATTAATTATTGTTTTCCCATTAGATAACATAAACGCATGCATACTCCTGGCGTAATAAGTCGGAACTGCGTGTATTTACAAACATCAGCGACGGGAGAATGGTGATATTTCGTTTTGATTTAGTAACGCACGGTTAAATAAAACGTCACTTTTTCACAAGGAAACATGTATGCATAACCGAAAACATATTTTGTTCATGAAAGGAGAATTTGCCATGCACCCCATAAAAAGCACCGCAGAAAAACTGCCTGAATGCCAAACACGCTTCTTGTTGTCCAGACATTCCACCTGCTAAGCAATAAACCACGCATTAAACACCTCTATCTCATTTCCTGGATGCCTTATTTGTAATTCAAATTCTTCCGAGAAAACCACAGTCACGGAATTTATGTTCCCAATTGTGTGAGAAAAAACGCTGAAATGATTGCTATCTCTCAACAACAACTGCTGTTGCCTCCTTATTAACCTTGCACAGAGGAAACGCGTGCCACTTAGGAGGTAGATTTATCAACAAAGGCCGGAATCGGATCAAAGGTCCATTATTTCATTACCGATGCAAACCAACGCTGCGTCAGATAGATGAAGGTTTTATGAGCACGTGTAGTGATTAATATTTCCTAGCTGATTTCATGAAGTTTATAGTTCCCGGTACAGCTACTGCACATTCACTGTGGAGAATGTATATCTTGTACATTCTGTATTTCACATTTTCCATCGGCTCAGTTTATAGAAGTTCATTCTTTGGCTTGTTAAATTTATTTTGAAGGTTATGTAATCCTTAATGCTGATTATTTTGACATGTAGCCTAATCCAAACTTTGACATTAAATGGTGTTACAATGCACGGGTTTTACATGTTAAATGCTGCAATTTTAACTTCATCTGACTTGCTTAAAAATAGATAGACACAAGTTAAGTGTTTTTTAGTCGTTGTTATTCAAACCCAATTTGACTTGCGTTCTTTTGTCTTACATGTCCCAAGAGAAGCATCTTCAGCAGAAATACGTGCATAAGCCCTTTAAACACACCAATATCTGAAACAACTGCCTTGAAAACTTACCGCAAATATAACCAATCGTGGCCCCTGTATGATCCAGTACGTAGTCAGAAACTCAATACCCAACCAACACCTGAAATGTATGTGACAGCTCATCTGATTTGTGGAATGAAAATACCACGCGCTTTCCTGGTAGACGTTATATAGCCCTAAGACAGTTTCACGTACATGTATACAGTGTAAATCATAACTTGCAAACAACGTAGGGCATGTTTACATGTAGGTCTTTTTAAACCTCTTTAACAAATGGACATTACAATATAAATCAATAGGCATAAACTATGTGCGCTTTAGCACACTTTCTCCAAAATATATTGTTCTGTAATATAACAGCATCACTTAAGCTTCTTGAAAATACATTACATGGAGGAGTTGGAAATGTACTTTATTCCGATAAATATCACTACAGTGACTGTTTATGGCGTTACAAATATCAAAATAACGTAATAATTACAAACTGTGTATGGTCGTAGCTGCTCGCTTTTACTTAAATCAGCTTTTACGGAAACTGCCAAGAGATATACATGTAGATAGCACAGAAAAACGCAGACAGAAGTTTGTTCAAATGCTATTTTCGGGATATATTAGTATATAAATTACGCTATTTGATTCTATGTGGTGGCATTTGGTCGGGTTTTATAGAACAATATTTGACTTTATGTGCATCTTTGACTTACCCTTCTGTTGGCGGTAACGTCACAGCCACCGTTATGACCCATGGTATGGTAATGATGAGCGGTACCCCTGGGGAATAAAGGAAAATATACAGTTACTCCTCGGTTAATAACCAGGCTTCTCTGTACATGTAGTAGTAGGTGTATTCTGGGTGTTATGTTGAGCGTTTGATTTAGACAAATTAAACAAGACTGACAATTGTTCTAAACAAATTACATGCACAGTGGAATAGTGGCATAATGGACTATGATTGAGAGCAACTTTTTCAAGGAATTCATATTTTCACTCTTTAAATATCCACATTCTCTCTCTCTCTCTCTCTCTTAAGTATAAGTATACAAGTACAAGTATAGTGAAAGAGTGGCATAATGGAGGGTGATTGAATCAAGTGCTTTCACTGCATTCTTATTCTTTCTTTTCTCTCTCTCTCCCTCCTCTTTCCCCCATCTCTCTCTTCCACCCTCTCTCTCTCTCTCTCTCTCTCTCTCTCTCTCTTCTCCTGTCCCCCTCTCTCTCTTACCCCATCCTATACAGTGGTACAATTTGAAATTTGGACCGTCTGAGAAGACCGACACTGTGATCTGGTTGTGGAGGTAAAGGCCTTCAATGAACATCCACATAAACATCACCGTCCACGTGTACTCCATTAGAATATACAGGGCCTCGCAGACGACCCGCTGGAAGCGCACAATTAAAATTATTAAAATCACATTTTAATTAAAAAAAGTGATCCCATGGATCACTATATATAGACTAAACATATACCATTTGAAAAAAATTAGGTGGATGACGATTTTAAAAGTATTAAAATTTATGTCATTATGTGTATTAGTAAGGGATTTCCTGTAAGTTTAGTAAATAACGGTAAATATACTGCCATGAGAACAATCAGTGTAGACGCATATTTTGCAAAAGCATTCACTCATTTTTGTACCGTATCTGAAATTGTCCCTGACGTTCCAGCGGCGGCCCCCGCAATTTCTCCCGCCACAAGACGAGCCACATACTGGTCTATGTACAGCACCAGACGACACAGGACCTGGATAAGCATGGCGCTGAACAGGTTCACGTGGATCTTTGTGCGACTGCATTTTAAACTCCTGCGTCAAAATAAATATACTGTTGAATATAGATATTCTCAAATCAAGAAATTAGGATTAGAGATTGGGTTTTTAATAAACGTAGTGGTGTAGAAATTGTTTGGATGGTTACAGAAGAGCTATAGATTTTTTTTATCTAAATGTGATCAAATTATGTTTGTTTTCACCTTTTACATATTTATCCCTTTGAATAAAACACAAGGAAGTTATTACATATAGCTATTGTATGATATGCTTGAAGCTTACTACGATGAAATGGGTTTTGTCATTGCATGGCGACAACTTATTTTCGCAACGTGTGGAATAAATGAGCCTTGAAACAAACCAGATCGCAATAGATTGTATTCACTTTTTTTTTCCAATTATATTTTTATCAAATTTTTACCAAACATAAAAGTGGATGGCTGTATTCAATATTGACAAAAAGTTCAGTCACCTGAAATATGAAAATATGAAGAGGGAGACTGCCAAGGCGACTAGAGAGACGGCCAGTCCGGCGACCTCCACGGCTCTCGTGTTCTTAGCAATTTCTTTCATAGCCTGAAATGCAGATAAGACAATAATTAGTCTCAGACCATTTATGTGAAACGTAAGCTCGGGAAAGAAATCAGTGCAGCTTAGTACGTGAACATTATTATTATGAAATTTATCGACACACTTTTCCTCATCGTAGCATTGCATGTATAAACGGTTGTACCTTGATAACATGCACACGCACGCACGCACGCACACACACACACACACACTCTCTCTCTCTCTCACGCACACACACTCACTTACACACACACACACTGAGAGAGAGAGAGAGAGAGAGAGAGAGAGAGAGAGAGAGAGAGACTCTAATAACAAATAATACCAGAAAACTGCATAGCGATTTCCGTGTATAATATCCCTGTCACAAATGACTTACTATTCACCTCCGGAGTGACATTCATACCATGCGATTATATTGGATTTTATTGTCAAACCCGCATGTGCCCATATCCTTTGGGGGAGAAAATGCGTGCAAGATCATAAAACCCTCACAAATACCAATATCTGATTCAAATTGTTGTGCTAGACAGATCTGTAGATTTCTTGCTTACGCACCATTCTTTCCTCGGGCGTCTTCCCCTCCAGGTAGGCTTTATAGGCCTCGTAGCCTGTCTTGTCATAACAGCCGAGGTAGTCCGTGTAGCCCTCCCCGTTGCTGGACGTTCCTTCCCAGTGTCCTGTGATTGTGCAATTTCGCGTGGCATATTCTGGAAAAAACGTGGTTTGTTTTATGGAGTATATTTTGAATTGGTTCCTGTAATTTAGCCCATTGAACTGAATAACTCTACGGAGCAAATTTTGAAAAGAACCAAGTTAGAGTTTTGTGTTTATTTCCAAGGTTTGGAGCTATACTCCATGGGAACAAAAGGCATAGAATCAGCACAACCCGTTTACAGAATTGTAATCTCACTAGGGACTATTACCAGTATCATCAAACACCATATAAAGAGAGGGACTGTAGTTATGGTAGTAAAACTTGCAAATATATGTGAAAAGCAATAAAGGCCCTTGCTATTGAAAATAAGTCATCCCATCAAAAAGGGGGCTCGATGACTGTGTATGAAATGATTACATTGCAAAGCACTTTTATTGTCCGACCTGCGTTTAAACACCTTCTAGTGCCTTGCACACATCAAGAAGAATCACTCACTATTGGTATCCAGGCCTCTTAGTGGGGGGCAATATTGCCTAGCAACGGTTCCAGCAGGGGTGGGTGGCCAACACAATATGGTGTCGTAAGTCGCGTTGCAGTACTGTCCTGCAATAAATCGAAAACATATTAGAACACCGAGCAATTAATGTTGGGTTAAAATCAAATAGTCATAAATTACAGAGCATGTCAATAATTCGAGCAACGCGGTAGGGTTCAATGCGGTTTCTTTCAACTAAACTGCTTTGAACCAGACAATATCTGCGGATACATTAGGTTTCTTGGAAAATGAAAAACTGCAATTTTACTTTGAAAATATGGGTCACAAAATTACATAATTGTCGGTCATCTTTCGAACGTATTTTACGCATGTCAAAAACTTACATTCACTTAATTCACTTAAAGTATGGCGTCTACATACTGCAGCTTAATAACGCTACCAAGTAAAACTGCTAATAGAATTGTGCTGTATTGTTAAGTAAAGCCTTTACTATGTGGCAATTTTGTATATGTTTAGTACCTAATACCTTGTCAATCTAAAAATTGGGGACTTTCATGTCCTTCGTGAAATGAAAATACATTGAAAAGCTCCTCCCTTAAATATGATCAATCAATTTTAATGAAAATGCTCTGCTGTTTTCCTTTGGTTTTTAATTTAAGGAGTAAGCACCACCATCAAGCTGCTTTTGGTCATACAAAAAAAAAAAAAAAAAAAAAAAATTGAACGCACATGCAAAGATTCCAAAGCGCTAACCCTGACTGCAAACTTCAGAGAGGTTGTAACAACATGAAATCAAATTTGTAATTGTAGTGGATTCAAACTCAAACAGTTTAATGTGCTGAAAGCGGCACATTTTGGTGCCTAATGGGCGATTTTCTGGGCTATTAAATCGGCTTTCAGTACAGATCAGGTTATTATATGGAACTGGTTTTTCTGTAATTCAATAACTCAAAGGAGGAAAGAATAAAGTTATTTAAAACGAGTGCTCAAACACACTTCGGCGGTTTCTATCAGTGCTGAAGATCCGCCAAGGTATTTCGAACTTCTGCAACAATGAGGATATGGATTCTTTTCAGTTCATTTTAGGTGATAAAATTACCTACGTTGAAATCGCGTGGTTTGTGCGTGTTTTGGGGATACCTGCAATGACAGGGCGGATCTAGACAGCTGTCTATTTTCTGGGAAAACTAGCGCATTCTAAGGTATCAAATATATCGTGTGAATGAACTCCTTACTGCGTATGCATGAACTTTTAGAACTGGAATCATACGATGGCCTGACTTGTCACGAATAAAGATCACAAAGAACATAAGTGCAATAAGGTGAAGGAACGGTTTACCGTTATTTGTAAGAGAAATTTAGTTTTTCAAGTGGGCTTTAGTCTTGGGGTGTACACATATTTTCTTAAGAAGTCAGATTTTACCTGCAGAATCCAGATCATTTTTTTCATGACTAAAGATATGCGTTTCGTACCGAAAGAATGTAAGTGGGTTTTTATTATTAAGTCAGGGATGAAACAGGGAGTGAAAAGCAAGGCACGCACCTCACTCTCTGAGCAATTATCGACATCTTGCGAGGTCGCGGCGTGAACTCAGCTCTCTTGAAGAACAATCACTGTCAGAAGTTATTAGCACTCAGTTGGGAGGTTAGGCAGTGAAAACACCACAGGACTATCAGACATGTTCCCTTACATTTAAAACTCGTAAGACTCTTAAAGCCACCCTACACTGGACGGCGTCCTTTCTTCGTCCCGTACTACGACCCTGTTTGAGAGTAAATAAATACTTTAAGTGCCAACAACTTGCCAATCACTGAGCATTCATTCTGCAACCAGAACGATGCTTGTGCCTCCTTTCTACGACCACAGCGATGCCAGTTTCATGGTCGCACAAAGGACGCAGAAAGGACGCCCTCCAGTGTAAAGAGGGTTTAAGGAGGAAGCAGTGGGTAAAAAACATTATTTTTCATCTTGAATCCCTGAGGCCCATAGTAATGACCAAATGAGTACAAAAGTTCAGGTTTGGATATCAAAAATGGAACAAAATCCTTGTAACACTACAATGTATAACACGGTATTATTTCCGGCATGTACAAAATTCGATCAAATAGCTTTTGTAATGTACTCTAAATGTGACGTTTAATAGAACGTGAAGTTGTTATCGTTATTCCTCGATAATATGTCATGGTGTGGAGAAACGTATAAGTCGATCATTTAAGAACTCAAATTAATCTACCAGGGTAGTGCTTAAATGCCTTTTGGTCGTCCTCACTGTCATTTACTGTCAGAACATATAACGAATTGAGAGCAGCTTTTGTTAAAACTAAATTTTCTAATTGTGACAAAAATAATGCTGGAATAACAGGGGCTTTTATCCAGTCTTTTCATTCCTGGAGTAGACAATCTAATGTTTATCTCCCTTAATTGTGCTTTTAAAGTCCAACGGAACTCAAATAGGACGAGTTTTACCAACAATTGCATTACGTCGGGACTGATTTTTCGGGAATCGAGCAAGTAGCGAAAAAGGCTTCTGAGACAACTTCAACAATAAGAGAATAAGCAGAAAACCACCGTAAACCTTAATGCAAAAATCAGCCTACTTCAGTTCAGGCTTAAAGGGAAAAAAACTCTTCATTTAAGGGGGAAGTGCACTATAACGGCTTTTCCCGGGTTGAACCATACTTTCCAATGGTAAATGAATCCGTTCTGATATTCATATTTATTAATTGTTTTTTATTCATTACAAAATGGTTTTGTAATAATCTCTTAAGATTATTACGAAGTGTAGCCATCTTTGAAGGTACCCGTGGCCCGATGGCTAGGACAGATTTTAGAATTGCGACAACCGTCGTTTTGGTGGTATTTTCAAATTAAAAATAGAGGAAGTTTGAACTCACTTGATTATAATTGAGCCTGATGCTACGACAAAAAAACGAAATAGTATGCATGTATGTAGCAAGCCCATAAATGATTTCAAACCGGCGTGATTCTTGCTTTACTGCTGATGTCCGGGAATATTTATAAAGAAGAAAACCTAAGTGAATGACCATACTGAAATTGTATATATACAAATCACTTCTAGTCGACCTTATACTGACTAAGTCAATTTGCTTGGTGTGTGGGGCCGAGGCCGCTTTGGGTTGCCTGGCCTCGGACTTAATCGGAGTGTACGCTCAAATGATGACTTTACATTGCCCCTTTTGTTAAATGGTGTTTACATAGTGGTTAGTGGCTACTAACGGCTCCTGTACTGGCAGAGTGGCGACCACCTGCGTTTTAATAAGCATGGGCATGGGCAGAGAGAGAGAGAGAGAGAGAGAGAGAGAGAGAGAGAGAGAGAGAGAGACGTGTGTGTGTGTGTGTGGGGGGGGAGCGGATTCAGAAAAAAAAAAACAATAAAAATATACACAGCAAAGTCACACTAGTAGAATATTGTATGGTTATTATAAAGAAAGTAAGCTACATGTACGCATATGACAAAAAGACGAGAAGCAACATCATTCTTACAAATATTTTAAGGCACCGGGTGCCTAAGACTGGAAAACTTTCCGAGTTCAAATCACTTCAAACTTTTACACATGTGGCGTGTTACGATTGAAAGAGCAACACAAACACATTAGTGTCGGGCTTGTTCCTGCGCACACATGTTTTGCAATCTTAGTTGAATGTTACCCAATAAAGGTTATTCTGCCGTCTTTGTAACACGATCAGTTTCATTACTATTTTTTTCTGAATTTAATATAACATTGAGTTGCGTGAATAGTTTTCGATATTAATCAAGGTTATTTTGTGCCACGTGTCTTAATTTCCGCAGTTTGGGTAATTTCAAATAATCCCCTGTGGATTGCGACGATCACACATTCATGGCCCTTCTATTTTGCTATAAGAAGGGACCTTTTCCATTCATTAGTTAATTTATTAACTAGTGCGGTGTACCACAACGAAACTGTTGCAGATATATCAGCGCCAATTATCCCCCTAAAAAAAGAATATTCACCAATTTCGTTATTTCGAAATCACTTTGAAAACGCGGGTGCGAGCAGTATCGCAAAAGATGGAAAAACCCTGTAAAAGCTTGGTTCAACCTGGTGGTATGGTTAATTAACCACTGTCATCGTAGTCCTCGATCATGTCGATTCCACTTCACCGGAGGCAATATGCATTAGACTGTCATCGTCACGAAATCTTTGTATAATGTTAATCGCTAGGGGAAAAACATACATGTACATTGTATCTCTTACTTAACTGACAATAGCCGTGGGTAAAACGTATATACTATATACTTGAGACATGCTTCATGTGGGGAAAGGTCAATGTTAAAGCAAGTCAAAATGCTTAAAGCAGGGGGTGCCAGGTGAACAGATTGCCAGAAACTAGACAATTGACTCCTTCGCATAGCCTTGTACTGTGCCCTTAAGGCACTTGTAAAGTTACATATCTGCATTGTTATATATTCAGTTTGCATGTTAATACCAAACATGCGGCGTTTTCTTAGTTACATATATGAACGCTACATACAGACCAAGGGGTTCATGTTTTGTATGCAGATTATTGCATATACCCTAATCAGATTGGAAATTTATCTTTATTAACTACATACGTATATATTCACACCTATTTTCTTCGTCTATCTATCTCTCTATCTGTGTATCAAGTAAATGTACTCCTATTGCTGTGTAGGTGATTCCTTATCAGACGTCCGTCAGACTACTACAACTTGGCAACAGAGAGGCTTTAACGAACGCCGTAATTAACGTGTCCTCTTCGTGCTCTTCTCCAGTCTTTGCCGAGAAAACGCATTAAAGACAGCGGTTCGGAAGTAGGACTTAGGCAACATAGGTTAATGCGCCTTTATATGTTCTTAGGTAGGGTGAATTGACAAGGTGCTTGAATTATCTGTTGCATAAAGAATATAATTCCTTGCGATATGCCAGACTAACAGTAGCATAAATGGCAAATTACTTAGACAGCATAGCCAAAGACGAAATTGCATATCGTCTTTGCACGACCCTGAAGTCGATGGTTCTCTTGGGGTATTTTCATCATGCCTAAAGACGTATTTTGACGCAACATTAGCTGTAAAGCTAAGTTTCCATGGTCTCTGG